TAGTAGTAGTATTGTTTAATTGTTAACATGTATTGGGCACTTGCCATTGGGCAGGTTAAAATATTTAATCCTTGCAGCAATCCTTTGAGATAGATTCTCTCACCACCCCTGTTTGCAGATAGAGAAACTGAGGCTGGGTTTAATAACTTGCCCAACGTCCCAAGAATGGTCAATGGCAGCGCTTAAAATTTCCTTCAAGAGGTGAATTAAAAATTATAAAGATTCTAAAATGGTTTCAATTAATAACAAATGTCTTTGGATATAATTGAATGAGCAAAATCGTAAAGTACAAAATTGCTCTAGGAAGCGAGAGAAGAGGCTACTTCAGTATAGCGTAGTAAGGTGGCTATGACTTGAGATCATGTTTACTTTCTGTGAATCGGAGCACAGGAAACTTCTAGACCATTATACTTAAGATGGCATTTTATACACTGGACTACAATTCACCCACATCCAAGGTTGAAATTCTAAACAAAACTTTTCTTCCCCAGGGACATAAAGCACTAAATAGAAAATTTCCAAATAGCACCAAGAGCATGGCAGCGAGGATGAGAAACTAGGATACAAAATCTCTGATGATTTTTTTTAAACCGACTATTGTGGTAAACGATGTCTAATTGAATTGAGAAAATCATTCATTAATTCACGAAATATGTATCCAGTTCCTAATACATAGCAAAGTCTGTGCGGGCACTTGGGGAAACATGGGGGGAAAATATACAGGTTACTTACAAAGAGTTAAAGAACCTATATTCATATCATATTTCTACATGTATATAACCATAGCTTTTTACCTTCATGGGTAATTTTGAAACTTAGCCAGGTTGTTAACCCAAAAAGTTGTACAAAAACCAATAGAGAAAAGTGGTACCAAAGGGCAAATGTCTGGCCAGCATCATTGACAGAAATCTCCAGATTCCTGGAACAGCAGGTTGAGAAATGTTACCAGAGACAGAGAACCAAAGAATATTCCTCCTGCTAAGGCCATGGGCTGATTTCATCTTAAATATAATGCATTGGTTGCATATATATATATATTCACGCATATACATCCACCATTATTATCCTCTTTCTCAAATTAGAAAGCTCTCAGAACCAGACAAAGTGAGATCACTGCCTCTAGCTTGACTAATTTCTGGAAAGCTTAGTTCTCAGCACGTCAGTAAAACTGGTTGCTGCATTTCTAATTAGCATCTCTGAAATTGCCTGTTATAATTCCAAACTTTCCTGGTCTTAAAAGACAAGACCTCTGTGAATGGAGTATGGGGCCCATCTTTCATGTTATGTTCCCTAATTACGCACCTACCAAAGGTTAAGCTAAGTGTTTTGTTTTCCTATAAAGTATTATATTGCTGTTTCATAATGAGGAAAGACTCAAGGCAAAAATCAGTGTCTACAACAAAAAGCTGCTTGGTGTGGAGAGCTGTTATTTTTTCTTAATTGTGGGTTTGTTTTGTGTGTGTATGTATAACTGATTCTCTTTGCATTTTTACCCTCTCCCTGTGTGAGGCATTTCTGGGAGATAATGATTGAATAAGGTTAGAGGTCCTCAACTTCTCCAGCTGTTAAACATTTGCCAGAAGCAGCTCTTGTGTGCAATTCTTTTTGTTATTGCTTATTGTTTAAGGCTGTTTCCTTTGAAAAATGTCTCTCTCTCACCTTAGGAAAGCGGAGCCCCTTAGGACAGAAGTGGGGCCTGGTGCACGACTTTCTTTTGGAATCGAGATGGCCTGAAGAAGTTGACTTAGAGGCATGTCGCTCAGAAACAAAGGCGAATCCTCAGTGGGGGATTTAACTTTAAAATGAGATTTGGACCAGTTTTTACAAGTGAGTACTAGCAAGCTTAGCAGCTATAAGAGACCATCTAATAGCACTCAGTCCTCAGGTAATTTCCTACCCATGTATCCTCACACATTCCCAAAGCGTAGGGCCAGGCCACTGACCACTGCTGCATCGGCAAAGTGTGCCAACAAGTCAGACGCTCTCCTCTCCCCAAGTCCACAGGGCGACTTTTCGTGAATGTCCGCTTTAGAAGATGCTGTGATGCCTCTGACTGTTAGGGCTCCAGAGAGGTGGGCATCAAGTTGGCTTGTGGCACATTTGGAGCAAAGTAGCAGGCACATTGGAGATGCACAATAATTATCTAATGCAGGGGTCAGCAAACTCTTTCTGTAAAGGGCCAAATAGCAAATATTTCAGGCTAGCGGACCATATAGTCTTGTTGCAACTACTCAACTATTCTGCTACTCTGCATTGTAGCCCAAAAGCAGCCAAAAGCAATGTATGATGAATGCATGGCCCAGTTCGGCCCACAGGCCAGACTGTGCCCATCCCTGACTCATTGAATGAAGAAATTATCTGAGAATTCACTTCTCTATATAAATGATTATTTCAGATAAATGAAACTCTCTTCCTTAAGTCCATAAAGGTTTTGCTTTATTATTGCTTTAACTAGTTTAATTGAGATCTTTCATAAAGTATATTTATATACTGGCTTACTTTTCTAAAAAAGTACATTCAGAACATAAGTTTTGGGGGCCGGCCCCGTGGCGCAGCGGTTAAGTTCACACGTTCCGCTTCTCGGGTGGCCCGAGGATCGCTGGTTCAGATCCCGGGTGCGGACACGGCACCACTTGGCAAAAGCCATTCTGTGGTAGGCGTCCCAAGTATAAAGTAGAGGAAGATGGGCATGGATGTTAGCTCAGGACCAGTCTTCCTCAGCAAAAAAAGGAGGATTGGCAGTAGTTAGCTCAGGGCTAATCTTCTTCAAAATAATAAAAATAAAAATAAATAACTTTTTCCCCACATGACTCAGGGTCGTGTTCTCCAGTGCTGCAATTCACTAACGCCTTCTGAGAGTTTGGCTGCATTGGGCTATTTAACCCAACTCCAGAAAGCCCCAAACCTTTTTTGTTTTCAGTCATTGCATCCACTTGTGATTTTTCTGTCTCCTTCCTGTCTAATGGGCTTTGAGCACTTTCTTTTCCATTCTGCCAGTGTACCCTTTAGGGAGATGACATGTACTTTTCAGAACATAAGTCCAAGGAATATCCAGGGCCCAACTCAGGCTCCAGTATTCTCCATTTCTTCTTTCCACAGAGTCCCAAGATGCAACCAGCTCCTTACTCCATATCCTGCCTTACCAATGTTATGCATTTATGGTTCTTTCCTTCCCTTGATCTTGGAGTTGTTCAAAGAGTAAGGCACAGCTTCCCCAGCACCCCTCCTCCTTCTTAAAATGCTCCAAGGACCCAGGCACTTTAAGGTTTTTATTGCAATTTAAAAGAGATATGGAACAGTAAAAATAGCAAATCTAAGGATGTTACAAAGATTCACGAGTACATAGATAATTCTTACAATTGCAGCCCCTAATCCAATGTTTCTGATTCCCTTGCTGAAATGCTACCCGGAAGTCCCCATTGGACTTGTGGTTTCTGTTTCATTCTTGAAATTAGAGATTACCAACCATGACCACTTCTGCAATTCAAAGGTGAAGAGCACGTCGAACTCACCCTTCAAGAAGGCCCTTACTTCATTCTTTCCAGTTATGCCTAGCCAGAATCTCAGTGTTAGTGATGATAACGGTGGTGATTTTGATAATGGTAGTAACTAATATTTATTAAACTAACACTTATTCCTTTGTACTAGACATTATGCTAAACACTTCATATGCATTTCTTCATTTAATGCTAACAATCCCAAGAAATAGGTATTACACCAATTTAAACCTAGACAAATTAAGTAATTTGCTCATGGTCACATAGTAAGAGTCAACACTCAACTCCAGACCATCCAATTATATTACATAATAGTCAGGGTTAGTGTTCTGCTGGAGTAACAAAAGCAGCAAGATATCAGTAGTTTAATACAAAAAAGTTTCTCACTCATACAAAGTCCAGTATGAGCTATGGGGATTCTTCAGGGAATCTGTCCTCCACATGGCAGCTCAGCAATCTGGGCACATCCATCTCAACGCATGCCTTCATAATCACCATAGTAGGAGAAGAATGCTGAAGTGTATCATCCCAGCAATTAAATGCTTTAGCTCATACACAACCCACATCACTGCAGATTCCAATCTGTTGGTCAGAACAAGCCTCATGGCCGCACATATTTGCCATAGAGATGGAGAAATTTAATCCCCTCATATGCCCAGAGGGAGAGGAGATTCAGGTATGGATGAGCACACAACGTTACTACCACCGTCTATATTTGGTTCACTCTTCTTCCACACTTTGAAAAAACCAAATCCAACCCCAGGGGGAAAACTGAAAGTCCCGGCCAATCATAGCATTGAGCTCAAAGTCCAGGACACTGCTAGCCTTTAGTAGTCTCTTCACTCACAGGAAAAGAGGGACAACAGTGGTCTTTACATCAGGTACTGACACATAACTCCTCCTGGACCAGATACCTGGGAACTAAAAAAGTTAAATTGAACCAACCACCACTCCATCTTCCCATCACTGCCATCACCACAGACACACACTTAACACACAATGGTGGAATACAGACCAGATAACCTCAGTAATCACTCCCGTTTAGAAAGAAGAATCGTCAACCCAGATTGAAGGCATGGAGAAATAACCTCCACCTCTTGACAGAAGAATCTACAATGTCATCCAGTAAAGATACGGATGCAAGAAAGGAAGAATCTGTGACCAAGTGATACAATCTACCATACCAGATGTATTAGTTTTCTATCGCTGCTGTAGCAAATTACCACAGACTTGGTGGTTTGAGACAACATGAGCTTATCCTATAGTTCTGTAGTTCAAAAGTCTGACACAGGTCTCACAGGGCTAAAATCAACATGTAAACAAGCTGCATTCCTTTCTGGAGTCTCTAGGGGAGGACCTATTTCCTAGCCTTGTCCAGCTTCTAGAGGCTGCCTGAATCCCTTGGCTTGTGGCCCCCTTCCTCCAACTTCAAAGCATCTATCTCACCATTCTTCCATCATCACACCTCTGTCTGGCCACAGTCAGAAACCTTTAAGAACTCACCATTAGATTGGGATTACCCAGATAATCTCCACATATCAAGGTCCATAACTTTAATCACATCTGCAAAATCGCTTCTGCCACATAGGGTAACATATGCACAGCTTCTGGGAATATCGTGTGGACATCTTTGTGGGGTCATTGTTCTGTTGAACACCCTCAGGAACTCCCACTGTAAAAGTTCCATCACATTATGATGCCGTTATGTCAAGACAAGGCTTCAGAGTTTATCAAATCAACAGGGAGCTAGATTAGTCAGCTTGGGTTGCCATACCAGAATACCATAGACTGGGTGACTGAAACAACAGTAATTTGTTTTCTCACAGCCCTGAAGGCTAGCAGTCTCAGATCAGGGTACCAACAGGTCAGGTTCTAGTGAATGCTCTTTTCCTGATGTGCAGACGCTTGCCTTCTCACTGTGTCCTCACACGGCAGAGAGAGACAGAGACAGAGAGATCTCTTCTTCTTCTTATAAGGCGACAGTCCTATCAGATCAGGACCCTACCCTTATGACCTCTTTTAACTATAATTACCTCTTAAAGATCCTGTCTCCAGACAGTGCCACACTGATGCTTAAGGCTTCAACATATGAACTGGGGGAAGGGGGCCACGATTCAGTCCATAGCAGGAGCTTTCACCTGGAAGTGACCAGTGCTCCTATTTCTCTGGGCAAAGCAAATCATATGGCCATGGCTGGATTTGAGGAGGATGGGAAACATATTTCTCCCATATGCGTGGAAGGAGAGGAGAAGTGGAAATATCAGCAAGCATCAGTAATGTCTACCCAGAGCCATTGGAGGGTTTCAAGCAGGATTGTGACATAATCAGATATGTGTAAAAGGAAGATCCCCCTAGATTTGTTGTAAAGGATGGGTTAGAGGGATCCTTGTAATCGAGAAGACTGCTTGGAGGCTCTTGATGTAATCTAGATGGAGGAAAAAGGTCAAAATAGGGCTGTGGCAGTAAGAATGGAAGGAAAGTCGTGCATAGCAAATTATTTAGAATATGCCAGCAATGAGTTTCTTCTGCAAAATGAATAGTCAAGAAATACGAGTTATACATGGTTATCCCAAAATTATCAGGAACTGTGCTTTTAGTTACAAATGAGTTTCGGATAACCATAGCTTAATTCTTTGATTTGAAAATGTATTTATTTTAATTGTTTGGAGATAAAAATCTGTCGAAGCTCTTACAGAGCATACTGAGATGGTTTCGGATGCTGTCAAGCTGTCATTATGAATATCAGTTTGTGTACTGAGCTTTAAACAGAAAGGCCCTCAGGTGCTTTCCCCGACACTTTTCTCCTTTTCCTGTATTTTCCATATTCTCGCTTCACCAAAAGGTGATTGAGGAAGGTAAGCTGTCATCAGTACAAGGAAATTGAGAAAAGTGAATCCCTGAGAACTGTAAACTCAAAATGAACCAATGAGATTCATAAGCAGATTTTGAAAATCAAATTGAACCTGCCCTATTTGTAAGAGAAAGCTACAGCCTAAATACGTTCAAGAAAGGAATGCCCTAACAGAGTGCAAGTTATTGGCATGGATGTTAGAAAAAGGAGTCAAAGAGCAGGAATGTCAGTCTACCACCAACTCTGTCCCGGAGCAAAGAGTGTGATCTGTCCAGAGATATGAGTATTCTGGTCCACTTGGTAGTATAGGAATCTTCATAAATTAACATTTATCATTGTGATTTATACATTAGTCTCATGTGAGTTTGATTATAGTGAGTTGCTAAAAGATTGTGCTGAAAATTCTGCTTTGAGTCTATGTAGATATCTCAGTTTAGGTTCTCCAAAAAGCAAAGCCTGAGGCAAGAACTTGGTGTAAGTAATCCCGGGAAACATAAATAAGAAAATGGGAAAAGTGAGAAAAAGACGGAGTAGAAGCCAACATAAGGGTACGTTATTGAGGTCACGGCTCTTAAGTACACTGGGACCTTCTGAGAACTATCTAGAAAAAGTCCTAAAATTCCCCGCCTGAAGGACAAGAGGCTGGAGCATTGATCTATTGGCTCTTGGCCCCCACTGGTTGGAGGTTGTTCCCATGAGTGTTAAATACACGCAGACATAACACACACACACACTTCCCAGCTGTACCTGTGTATGCCGAGTGGGCTCCTAGGTACTAGGACAGAAAGTGGAAACACACGGTTTATGCTTCAAGCAGAACACTCTTAGCATGAGAGAAGCTGAGCTCACATAGAGTCATCCTGAGCAAAGACAGTTGAAATCAAAGGTGGTCTGATGGGGATGTGACACAAGACACCAGGGGTGTCTGTGGACCGGGCAAGGAGCCAACCCTGAATTTACCCAGCACAGCCCTGCCTTAGCAGCCCCCTGTTGACTTCTCTATCTCATCGCACCCTAACTAAATCATTAAGGTACCCTTTGCTCCCCAACAACAACTTCAACACATAGCCACGAGGCCATTTTCTCTTCTTTCTCAAAGTACCATATTTAATCTGGAATCTAGAAGTTTCCTTTTCCGTCGTAAAAATTGGCACTAGACTTATGAAGTTGTCAAGATGATGTTAAGTTGTTTTTGTGCCATAGAAACAAGTCTGCCAAAGAAGCTGAATACCACCAAATAAGCCAACCCTTGGATTTAATTAAGTAAACATTTTTTAAGAAATCTTCTAAACCACTTTCTCTTTGAGTGGGAAAAAAACAACAGGTTAGGGGCATGAAAGTAAAAAATAAGATAAAAGAAGATCTTTAGGAAAGAGTGTGCAGAAGCATTGAGGACCCGTGTGGGAGGCTGGATTTGGTTCCCTGCTGAGGTCAACACGGTGACAGTTGCTGGAGACTCGTGGTTATAGGTGGACCTGGGCAGCCGGGCTCTGCTCCCCCATCCGTCCCTCCCATGGACTGATATGTGCTCCTGTTAACATGGACTCAGAAATAAGGCAAATAAGAGTTCAAATTCCACTTTCATCACCTGTTTCCTATATGATCTTGGGCAAGTTAATTTCTTAAACCTCAGAAGTCCTCATCAGTAAAATACAGCTGGTAATTTCTAATCTGCAGGACTACTGTGAGAATTAACATGAAAAATATAGGTAAAGCAATTTGGACAGTATCAGAAAGATTGAAAGTGCTTAATAAATGGTAACTAGGGCTGTTATGGTGATGAAAATGCCAAGCCATAGAGGCGCCCTGGAAAAACCTAACGTGAGTTCTAGCACAGAGTCGGTGCTCATAAATAGTGGTTCCCCTTTCAGTTGTGTTTCATAGGAGCTAAGAGCTTTACCAAAACTGTGCGAAGTAAGGCATGGTTCGTTCTTCTGAAATAAATATAGATCATGGGTAGCTCCAGGGGTGTTTTAAATTCTCCAGGAAATTTACAGTGAATGAGACAAATTGTTTCCATGACAAGGTCATGTTTAAGACCAAAGACAAAATGACGGCCTTCGCATCATCTGTTCTTCCCTTTCAAGGCCAGCCATGCACCAACACCCCCACTCTCCCTCTCTTACTCCCCCCAACATGTAAACAAGCCTCTTTTCTGTGATCCCCCATCCCTCCTCACGTGCTTTTGACCTGCTAGACCTGACCTCGTCTCCCTGGTCTGAGATTCTTCATCCCTACCCCAGTTCCAGCCCCATTTCTGACTCTTCTGAATACGAAAACTCTCTAGATTCCTCTATTCACTTCTTTAGATTTCAGATACTTCTGGAGTTCATTTGTTCATCATTCACCCATTTCACAAATATCTATGGAGAGCCTCTATGGACCCCACAATGTGCACTGTATGCACTGGCATACAGTGGAAAACAAAATTGACAAGTCCCCTATCCTCAGGTATTTTCTAGTGTAGTGTGTAATAAATAAGTGAACAAATTAATACATAATATCAGATGCCCCACATTTTCTCAGTTGAGAAACTCATTCCTGACTCTCAGCATACAGAACATACAACAGCAGGACTCTCCCTTGGACCCTAGGATGCAGACCCATATTTACGCCATTCTTGTCATTCACATCATGGACCACTTTTAAGACTTCATGGACCTTCCGTGAAGGTCATAATCCAAGTGTATCGAAATTTTACCCACTAATGGAACAAAATTAGAGGAAGGGGGTATGGAAATTTATTTTCAAAGTCTATCACAAGTGTAACAATAGCCTCATTTTCCCTAAAAAGGAATTACCAGCAATTACAATAGTCCACTGAAGATTCCACAGATGGCTACTAATCATCCAATGTCTACTGGGATGTTTTATCCATGACATTGGATGATTTTCTATTCTTTGCCATGCTTAGAGGAAAGCTCCTAGGATACAGAAAAGCTTGATGAGAGAAACAAGGGAAGAGGTCCATTACATAAAATCATGGCTTATAGCATCCCCCACAACACACAGTCCAGTTAATCTGAGGCTTCCTTCATGGGTTTTGCTCACACCTTTTAAGTGTTGTTATATTTCCCTGTTGCTTCCACTGCCAATGTTCCATTGCACCTCTCAACCCCAGACTGTCCACTATTCTGCAGTCCAACTGTTAACTAACTTTATGGGCACTTCCCTGATGGCTCTCTCCAGGGAAAGTAATGAAAACTCCTTCCTAGTCTAGCAGCCATTTTAATTTATAGGCCCCAAACTCAGCAAATGCTAAAAAGGTGCTTACAAAATGTATTTGGCATGGCTCAACTGGAGAACTACATGGACACCTGACCTCTGCTCCCTCCTCCAGTGGCATTCTGGAAGGATAGACAAACCACACCTGTGAGCAGCCACATTGTGATGAAATAGAGAGCTGGCCAGGAACACTGCATTGATCGTAGCTGACCATACATATTCTTCATCTGTCAGATTGAATATGTTTATTTGTTTCTGTAAGACAGAGAGGTTAGGACTGTTACATTAATTTTAAGCAACTGCAAGGTGGAATCAGCCCACATGGACTAGACCACAGAACCTGGGCTTCCTTCCTTAGCAGACAACCAGCTCCAAAACCATAAATCTAAAGGTGAACCTCAACTCTTTATTCATCCCCTATGTCCAGTTAGTGCCCAAATCCTCTTGACTCTATTTCTCAATGTCTTCCATGCTCTTCATCCCCACTGACACTTCCTTACCTCAAGGCCATTTCATTTTCCACCTGGACCATTGCCATAGTGTCCTAAATAATCCTCTT